ACCATTACCACCACTACGACCACCACTGCATTAGTAGTACCACCACAAGCAACAGCAACAGCAGCAGCCGCATCCATTTGCAGGAGCACAGCAGAACAGAGTACACGGCGGCGACCAGAAGCAACAGCAACAGCAGCACCACTAGCACCATCAGCACTATCTCTCTTTCTCTGGCAGTGTCAGGCATCACCGTATCAGAGGCACTACAGCACCACCACCACTACAAGCCCATTACTACTGCTGTACCACACTGATCATCTGCATTTGCCGTCTTTGCTCTGTCCCGGTGGTGTCCTCGACGTCGGCTGACTGACTGACGCTACTACACACACTCACTCACCAGACTCTTTCCCTCTTTTGTTGGATGATTTTTGTTGTTCACTTCATCATCCACTGACTAAACCGAGTGAGAGAGCTTGAGCTGCATCGTCATTGTAATAACGTGGTCGCATTTCCTATTCTGCTGTCCCCCACTGCAACAACAGCAGCACTTTCAACTCGTCTCAACTCGGTGAGAGCAGAAAAGCCTGAAATATACGAGTCGTAATCCTGAAACTGCCACTTCTACAGACAGACAGCACTGCTGAAACGTTTGCCACTTTGCCACCGCCGTCAGACAATAATAATCACTGACTTGAACTTTGAGTGCGGCGGTCACTTTCACTGCTCATCGACCGGGCACTCCCCACAACTTGGACACTGGCTAGGAGAGGAGCATCCTCTTTTCAATCTTCGATATATCAATCGCCGACCACCTGTGGCTGTCGTCTGTCTGCTGTCCTTCCTTTTTTTGTTGCTGTCGTCGTCGTCGTCTGTTGTGTCCGTCTGACCTCGGTCGCACGACAAGAGCAGCAGCAGCCTTTGTGCGCGCGTCAATGGCTCAGTTGCGAGGGGAAGTGAAAGTGCAACAGCAACATTAAGCTACAAAGAAAAAGCGAGTGTCAGCTGTGTAGAAGTTGGAAGTCGTGAAGGATCTCTCGGTGAAATAACTCACACTCAACAACAGCAGATTTGGAGCCTGAAGTCTGAGCGCGCAGACACCTGCGAACGCACGTACCTTGAACAGGAAAGAAAGAAGCGCTTTTCACGGCACAGCTCATTTAACCTCAAAACCCGAAACTCTTCTTCGGTCCTCAAAAAAATCTTTCTAGTCTGAACCTACTCACCTATTCACCAGCTCTATTTGCTCTACCCCACTGAAGCCATCATTCTCTGTATTCTCTATTTTCCTGTCGCATTTCCTTCTCCAAACACTACCACTTAAAGTGGTTTCAGTCCATATTGTAGTCTCTGTGCCAAAATCTCCACCTCCGCCATCGCAACTATTTGCACTTGTCCGAGTCGTCAGGGTTGTTGTTGTCTTTGTTCCGGGAATCCCACAAGAGCTATCCCCCTCTTGATCGCCACTTCTGGTCTGTCCCCAATGATCACCACTTTCCATGTTTGTTTCGCACCAGCACTCTCTCCACCACCACCACACCTCCTCCGGCAGTCACCCCAGCAGCACGCACGTCTCGGCGGAACCAAGCAAGGCTCACTCTCTTCTTCATCCTCCCTCCTCTACCAAGTTTTCACCTTTCTCCTCTGCAAGCTCATCAACAGCAGCGACAGCAGCAGCACCGTCTCGGACAGTTCTGAACGGCGGCAAGAACTTCTTGCCGGCTCAGCAGCAGCAACAGCAGTTCGGCAGTCTTCGGCAGACAGGCGCCAGGGACAAGGGGGCGAACCAGNACAGCTCTGAACGACGGCAAGAACTTCTTGCCGGCTCAGCAGCAGCAACAGCAGTTCGGCAGTCTTCGGCAGACAGGCACCAGGGACAAGGGGGCGAACCAGCAGCAGCAGCAGCAGACGACGACGACCGAGAGGACCTCCTTTGCCCGGTCCTTTACGACGTCGGGCATTGCCGCGACGAGTCTGTCCCGCTTTGCCAACAACCCCAACTCCAACTCCAGCCAGATCACCACCTCCTCCTCGCACCATCACCAGCCGACACCACCGAACATTGGGCAGCGAACTGCTCCAGCCCACTTTGCCACCAGCCCACCGAACCCGAATGCCAGCCCCACCTCCCCTACGACCCCCACCTCAGGCGCCTTCAACAAGAACTCCCCTGCCATCAAGTTTCTCTTCAAAAAGCCACAACTTCCAGCGACTATATCCTCCAGCGCAGCCTTGTACCACTTTAGCAGTGGCAGCAACGGCAGCTCCGGTGGACAGCAGCACAAGTCTGCTGCAGGAGTAGCCGCGTCGGCCAGTGGCGCCCAAGGCGGTCGAGGCAGTAGCAGTAACAGCGACAGTACCACCGCCGCCACCACCACCGCCAGCAACAGTCTCGCCAAGTATTCCATTCCCAAAGTGAGCCACTCTGAGCGCAGTAGCAGTAGTGGTGGTGCTCTCAACGGCAATGTCAACCTCGCTAGCTTCCCCTCTTCCTCTTCCGGAAAGCAGCACTTTTCCGCCAGCAGTACCTATCGATCATCGGCTGGTCAATGCTACGCCCCAAACGGATCCTCAGCTCGATTCTCCAATTCTTCCTCCTCTTCCTCGACGACCTCCGCCTACCATCCTTTGCACAGTAGCCTGTACAGCAACATCAACGGTCAGCAGGCCCAGCAGACAGTTCAGCCAGCACCACCACCGCCGCCGCCGCATCCTCACGAGCTAGCATATCTGAAATACCAAAAACAGCAGCAGCAACAGCAACAGCAGTACTACGTATGTGTGTTCTTCTTCTGTGCTCTCTCCCTCTCTAGGGCTGATGTTGAGGATGCAAATGTTTTGTGAGATTTCCTTCACAGGTCTCAGGTGATGATGATGGTCTGGTGATGGTGATGGTGACGGTGGCCTCAGCTCTGAAGCAGCTTAGCCTAGGCAGAGAGCCTAAGCTGCAGTGTTGTCTCTTTTCTCTCTTTCTTTCTTTCTTAATTTTTCTCTTTCTTTCATTCGTCTGTGCCATGTATATCTGTGTCATCGTGCCTGTTAGTCTGTGCTAGTGTGTGTGTCTCTTTCTGCTCTTGTGTGTCGTTAAATACCTGTGCCGCCATTTCGCTCTTCAGCTGACTACTCTTCATTACTACTACTACTAGTTCTACTACTACCACTACCGTGTCTAATTCACACTTTCCCCTTTTCTCCTCAGGGCACACAGGCCAAAGGGAAACCTCCCGGTGCCGGCAAGTCAGGCTCCTCCGCTAAAGGCTCCGCTTCCGCCTCTGCCTCGACGACCACTACCACCAGCAGCAGCAGCAGCACCTTCAGCAGCAAACAGGAGGCACTGTACAGTCTGCACAATGAACAGCAGCAGCAGAAATCGTCGACCACCACCAGCAGCAAGGCGTCCTCGCTGGGCGCCGCTGGAGTCAACTCTGCTTCGACGACCAGCAACAGCACCAGCAGCAGCAATTCCCTTCGTGCGGTATCGCAGCAGCAGTCTCAGCTGTCAGCGAAACGGGACCGGGAGCACAGCAGCAGCAGCAAACACCAGCAGAAAGTATTCACCGGGGCGAGTAGCGGAAGTGCACGGCAGCCTTCCTCGGGCGCCGCCAAGGACGCAAAGGAGTCTTCATCATCTTCCTCGTCTACCAAAGAGCGTTTTTCCTTTTTGGCATCTCACGCTAAAAAGGACAGCCTCTCAGCCAGCAAATCAGCCACCACCACCAGCACCAGCACTTCCAAGTCATCGTCCTCTGCTGCTGCTGCCGATGCTGCTACCGCCGCCGCCGGCAGCCGAAAGGCGCCTACACAGGAGAAAAAGTCATCAAAAGCCGCCAAGTATGCCCACAGCTCATCGCCCATGTCCAGTGACAAGGACGACATTGCCGGGAAAAAGTCAAAGGGCAAAAAGGAGGCTCGTGATCGACTGACACCCTCTAAGCTGTACAGTTCCTCGAAAGCTGCTGCAAAGGTCGCCGCTGAAGCGGGCGAGGGTATCAGCAACAGCAAAAAGAGCAAGTCGGCAAAGGGCGATAAGGAAAAGAAGAGCAGTAAGAAGGAGAAACTGCTGAAGAAGAAAAAGTACCAGAGCAGCAGCAGCAGTAGCAGTAGCAGCGAGGACTCTGATGTGGAGAGTGACGTCAGCGACGATGGCAGCGATGATGACCAGCTGAAAGCCAAACGACAACTGGAAAAAAAGCTGAAGCTGAAGCGGAAGCTGAACAAAAGCAGCAAGAAGGCGTTGCGGAAGGCGGCGGCGGCACAGCTGCAGCTACTGAACAAGAAGAAGCTCCAGCTGAGCAGTGATGATTCCCATGACAGTAGTGATGATTCGAACAGTGAGGAGGAAGAAGAGGACAAGGAGCCGATCAGGATGACTCCCGCCAAGTACCAAACACCGGAAAAGAAAAGGGACTCGAAGCTGAGCAAGAAGGAGAGTAAGACTAAGGGTGGCAGCAGCGGCAACAGCAAGGCCAAGAAACAGCCATCAGAGCTGGCGAGGAAGCGAAAGAAGCACGAGGTGAGCAGTGATAGCAGCAGCAGCAGTAGCAGTGCCTCCTCTTCGGAGAGCAGCGACGAGGACAGCGACGATGCTGAGACGAAGGGGGCGAGACCATCGGCGACATCGGCAGTGATGATGACCAGTGGCAAGTCGAAGACGACGACCAAGCGACGTCGCCACCACTCGGGCTCATCGACGCACAGTGCAGCTGATCACCCGATGACGACCGCCACCAGTGACCGTCAACGACTGAGCACGTCCGCCTCTGCCTCGGCCAGTCACCTTTACAACGCTCGAAATGCTCATCTCCACCACCAGTCACCACAGCGGCAACAGGCGGCGGCGGCACTTCGAGGCGGAAACAGCAGCGCTCGCATGCGTCTCGACGATTCAGATGATGAAGACTCGGACGAGGAGGAGGCAGTCTCGGACGCCTATGAGCGACCCGAATCGGCGGCCAGTGGTTTCAGCAGCAGTTCGGCCAAGCAGCTGCAGCAGTTGGCGTACTCAAAATCGCAGAGCTCAAAGAAGCGCCGGCACAACTCTGGCTCATCGCAGGCGTCAGTCGCCTCTTCGACGGCCTCCGCTACGGGCACTCCTTCTTCAATCTCTGAAGGGCCTGCCGCCTACCTCTACCACCCACAGGCGGCCGCCCAGATGGCCAAAGGCGCCCAGAATCTGATGAATCAGGAGCACCCAAAGCTGTACGGCGGTAACGGCAGAAAGAGCAAACAGCAGCAGCAACAACAGCAAGTGCAGGCATCGAAGCTGCTCAGTGATCCGCTGGGCCACTTTCCCTCGCTGCTGGCCAACGCCAAAATGTCGCACTCTCCCTTCTCCGACGGCTCCTTCTCGACGACGCCCGTCTCCACGTCGCACCTGTCGCCGAATGTCGCCTCACCGGCGCTCTCCGCGTCGCCCAGTCCGTCGCAGAAAATGATCTCAAGTTACAAAAGCTCGCATCTCCACGAGGACGGCAGCAACGGGAGCAATGGTAGCGGTGGCGGCGGAAGTGGCGGCGGTGCCAACTTCAACTCAAAGAAGGAGAGCAGCTCCAGCAGCTCCAAGCGAAAGGTGGTCGAGGAACAGCAGAAGATCAGCAGCAGCAATCACATTGAGACGAGCCATCTCTGCCAGACGCGAATCAAGTACTGCGTCAACAATGAGGTGGCACTGATTGAGATTAAGCAGTTCAACCAGGGCAAAATATGGGACAACAGCAATGAGTTTAAGAAGGCCAAGAGCCTGCTCGAGTCCTCCAAGTCCTCCAGCTCTTCCACCTCAAAAACGGGCACCAGCTTGGGAGGCAGCAGTGACAGCGGAGTCGGCAGCTCTTCCTCTTCTTCCTCCAAAAAACAGTCCTCGTCGTCGTCCTCGTCCAAGCCAACGGCCAAGGGTGGCAGCAGCAACAGCAGCAGCAACTACGAGTACCTCTTTAAGCGGGACCGAGAGACAAACAACAACAACAACAACAGCAATAAAAAGGACCCTGCAGATGATGTGGACAGCGACCACAGTGACTACCACCCCAATCACCACCATCACGCACACAATCACCGTGATCATCATCAGCAGCAGCACTCTGACTCTGAGCAGTACTCTTCGGCGGCCACCACACCCGAGTCCGAGTCGCACTCTGAAGTGGATAGTGACCTCGATCATCATGGTCAGCACCACCACCAGGGCAACCGACATCAGCGGAACAACAGCGGCAACAACAGCAGCAGCAGCAACAACAGCAAGTTCACCCCGAACCGACAGTCGAATCCATTCGCCTCGTTGCTGTCGCCGCAGACTACGCCCAACAGCCGGGGCGGCATTCCGCCCAGCAACATCTACGCCCGGTCAGGCAACCACAGTGGAGTGCCACTGCAGCACGGATCGTCGCCCTTTGAGCGCCTGTACCAGAACATGTACGGCAGCAGCGGCAGCACGAACACCTCTCCGGGGGCACAGCATCAGCAGCACCACTACCGCCACTCCAGTCAGTCGCCCAACACCGGCGGCGCCGTTTCCGCCACTGAGATTCGCGAGATGCACAGCAAAATAGTGACCCTCGGGGACACTCACAAGCTGCAGATGGTGATTGACCTGGTGGAGGAGCGCCACGGCACCAGCTGCTTCCACATTGACGACAACCACCTGCAGTTTGACCTGCTGAAGCTTGACCAGTCGACGCTGATGGATATTAAGCGAATGATCTACTGAATGAACAGACTGATAGACCCACAAAACACTGCTGTTGAGGGTTGCACTTCATGGGGAGGGAAAGAGAAGGGACGGAAGGGGAAGAGGAGATGAACTGCCATTCCGCACTTTTCCTGCTGAGACAACACTTCAAGCATTTACCAGTTCTCATCTCCATTTTTTCCCTTTCCCTTTTTCTCTGTCTCCCACAGAACACGCCAACCACCTTGAAACCGCCCCCACTTTTCCCTTATCGTCGACACTGTTTCTTTCTCTTTCGCTCTTTTATTCTTTTTTCCTTATTTATTCTTATTTATGCTTTGGTATTTATTACTTTTCTCTTTTCCCGCAGTTCTCTTCACTTCAGTACACTCTGTATTTACATTTCCAAACTGTCTCGAGTTCAGTTGTGTAGAGAAGTGGCTGCTTGAAGTGGTGATGATGGATTCTTCTTTCATTTCTGCTGCTTTGGTCGCTACTTTTTGGCACACTGTTTTGAGCAAAAAAAAGACTTCCCAGAGCATTATTCTACTAGGCTCAACATTCTCTGTATTACCGGTGCAATCTCGCTTTCTTTCTTTCTTTCTTTCTTTTCTTCTTTTATCCAATGCATGCACCAATCACTCTCACTCATATACTCTTGCGTGTTTGCACCTACAGCACACCTCACACTCCCATCACATCACACCCATACACTCAAACACACCTTTTTCCAGTGGTTGATTCCCCTCTTTTCCGGTGCAGACAGTCAGTCAGCGCACCGATCCATTTGGAATAATTGTAATAATTTGAACTAGCACTACTAGTTAGCGTATCAGTGATGATGATGCTGAGATAGCTCGATACATGTCCGCTCTAATCGCTCGGAGCTGGCTGAGAAAGCTGGCTGTTGTCAGGAGGAGGTGTCAGGGGCATTTTGGCAGAACTGCAGCTAGCAACCAGGAAGATCTGGCCAACACCTGAAGACTGACGGGGAACACATTGCAAACGGGTACTTCCACCACACCTAGTGCACACCTTCCATTGAGCCATTTCTTTCACAGAACAACCTCAAACTCTCCCTTTCTCACCATCTTCGCCATCTAATGGACCACTTCTATGATCTGTACCAGCACTATTCAGCAGTACACCTCCCCCTCCTTTTCATTGTGAAACTCAGCTTGAATCGCCTCCCAGTGGCCATCAGCCCTCTCCTTCTCTCCATCAGCCGCACCTCTCCGCCAGCTCCCGAGTTGTCCCTGTTGAATGCCAAACCGACCTAATCACACACACATACACATCACGCTACACTGAACACATTGTGATAATTACCTGACAGGAAGGCAAGCAATCACAAACTTGTCCTTTTCCTTCTCTCTCTCTCTCTCTCTCTCTCACTCTTACTTTCTCTTCTGTCAAATACCCCCTACTCTTTTGTCTACATACGGACACTATCCTTTTCCACAACACAACGTTGAAATTTATTTTTGTGTTATGCCATGATTACATTCGCAAATAAATAATCTATTTTCAAACGTTATCCACTTTTGAAAAGTGTTCTTTATCTGCTTATACAAATGATTACAAGTGAAAAGGGGACCTTGCTTTTACCTGCAAAACCACAGTCTGGGACCGTGCTGAGAAATGGGTACTCAAAAGCTCCACCTACCTGCTGAACATTGCCTTCATTAAAGAAAAAGCAAGCTGTTAATAAAATAAATTGATTTTCCTAGTAATAACTTTCACATTCATGTTCCTCACATTTTGTTAAATAATTACTAAATTCACATAATTTTTCCGAAAAAGTTAAGGTCAATTAACTAGATTACTTTTTGTAATTAAAAACCAAATGTAGACTAAATATTACTTTGTAACGTTTCTGAATAATTAAACATAAAATAGACTGATTTTCAAGCATATAAAAGACATCACATTTGCACAAACAAAATTATATTTTTTTCAACAACACTCACTTTACCTTTGAAAATGAAACATTTTCTTTTCCTAGTTTTAATCTCAACCGCTCTTCAGCCTCCAACTTTCGGCCAAATAGCTTCCGAAAAACCTCATTCTAAAGAGTTTCTTTTGGGCTCAAAAGAGTCAATAAAATTGACCGACGAGTCTCTCTTGAAAGTAATCCAGCTCATCAAAGACCAGTACACGCCCGTTTTAGCCACTGGTGACCACACAGTGCACTCAGGAAATTCATGGACTTCTCGTAGCTTTTCGTTTAAAAAGCTCCTATCCGCTCAGAAGGCAGCCTCCAGTGGCCCAATCTACTACGTGGACTTTGAGCTGAAGGAGAACAGCTGCTATGAGACGGGCTGCCTCGCCCATTGCTACTTCCAGATTGTGACCTGCAAAACCACCATCTGGGACCGGATCAATAAGCCACTGGGAGGTGGACGGTTCCGCAACTCCACTGACCTGGTAGACATCAGCTGCACCAAAGATGAAAAGGAGCACGATGAATTTGAAGATGATAGGGACTTAAAGGCGCAAAAGAAGGCTCTTCTTGGAAGGTGTTGACAGAAAGAGTTAAAATCAGAAAAGCTGTTTATCGAAACAGTTTGTGCTTTTTGAGTGTTAAATGGAATAAAAATGTCTGAGATGAATGTCAAAGTTTTAGTTTAGCAATTTGTAATTTAATTTTATGTAACAGTAACAAAGCCTACAAGCTACTCAGACTAGATCTTGTTGCTTTACACATTCCGCCTAACACATTTTCTAAGCTCTATGTACTTTCGGCTTTAGCGGAGCCGGCTTGTTGAGCAAACTTTGAAAGCGAATCCTTGACGACCTCTTCTGTGGCGCCCTTGTCATGATCCACGAGAACGGCATACACACCCAATTTGCTTACGTCAACTATATTTCGCTCTTCATCGTCGAAAAATATTATGTCTATTGATCAAGGGTAGAAATGATTAACGGTAGGCAAGCATTTTGATAATTCAAACCTGAATATGGAACACCAGACTCGGAATGAATACGCTCAAAGTGTTTCGTTTTTACTCCAGGGTAAATTTCAAAATAATCAATGTGTTGCTTTAGATTGAGCATCTCCAGCAAAGTGTATGCACCGGAAGGATATCGAGTTCGCGATGCTACGGCAACCTTCATATCTAGCGATTTCACATACTTCAAAACGGTTTCAGAATATGGAAAGGCTTCAATTGTCTTAGCAGACATGTCGATTAACTTTCCGGTAGATTTATCAATATGATAAGGAGGTGTGTAGCAGAAGGTGTCAACGCCGAATCCCCATAAGGTGTGATCAATGTCAAAAACAGCCAACTTTGGAAAGCGAACTTTGGCCGTACTGCTTAGCGCTCGCTTTAAAAAGATCACTTTATTCCTAAAAATAAAAAATTAATCAATTAAAAGAAATTTACATTTGAAATATACCGTACATTCTTTGAGATTCATGAAAAATTGCGCCAAGTGCGACAAAATAATTTTAAGATTTGTTGGCTAAGAAATATCAACACAAACAGCTGATTTTTTTCTGAGGTTAGAAAAGTTTCCACATTTCAAAGAAGTTCCCTTCCACCTGTTGTTCTCTGAAATTCAAATCGCAAAAAATGACTTTACTGGTTATAATGTAAACTGGACATAACTGCCTTTCACTGTACTTGAAGAAGCCGTTAACTACTAAAAGAAGTGTGAAGCACAGCTCTTCACCTTCAAGTGAAAGTACTTGACATTGAAACACTGGCGAAAATTTGACAAGAAGGCGCCAACTCATTTAATCACAACTGAATGTCAACAGAATTCACTTTTTTAAACCAGTGGAGTGTTTGCATACTTTTTTTTGCTGGGAAAAGAAAGTTAGAGAAATGTTTACTGATTGTCTACCGTCAATGGAGTGCCTGCTCTTCAGTGATGGTCAGTCAAAAGAGTAGCAAAACCCCGTATATAAAGAACCGTCTAAATGGAGAGAGCATCATTATTCCTTGCTGATTCCCCATTCATCAATAGCCACCACAAAAGAATGATAGAGAAGACACTGGTACTCCTTGCAGTGGCCTGCACACTGTCCACCGCCCAACAGGCGCCCACCAGTGAGGTCTTTCTGGGGACAATGTTTCCGCTGTCACACGGCGTCGGCGGCAGCGTCTACGCAATTGACGATCAAACCATTCGTGTGAGAAACCTCAACTACGATGGACAAGCGCCAGACGCCTACTTTTGGGTAGGCAGCACTGCTCGACCAGACGCCAATGGAACGCCGCTTGCTGATGAGAAGGGTTCCACCAGTCCGCTGAAGGGGTACCGAAACGCCAACGTGGTGCTGCACTTGCCCGCCGGAATCACCGTACGACAGATTAAGCACTTTGGCATTTGGTGCAAGAAGTTTAAGGAAAACATGGGCTACGCTTCAGTTAGTGTTAACTAACCTTTTTAATGTTTTCTGTGAAAGGGATCAATGGTTATTTCATGTAAACGCTGTACGTTTGAATAATTAATAAATGTGTTAAATAGAAAAAGAGAACTTGCTCAACAAGATCCATACTTGTTGTTCCACTCATCGTATTGCTTCAAGTCGTCCATTGAAAAGCTGGGTTTGACGGTGTTGAGTGACAGCAAGAAATCATTACAACAAATGGGGCGAATGTCTTTTTTGTCAATGTCAATCAGTCGATCCATGACATCTTTGAAAGGGTGCATAGCTGCATCGCCGCACAGACTCTTGATGTCCGACCCTGAATAGCCTTCCGTACGTTCAGCAATAATGTCCATTTCTTCGCTGGTGAGAACATGGTTCTCATGTTCTAAATTATTTTCAATCATGTTCTTTCGAGCAGCTTTTTCCGGCATTGAAATGTACAGTCGAGCAGAAAAGCGTCGTCTGACTGCATCATCGAGCTCCTGTGGTCGGTTAGTGGTGCCAATAACTAGTAGACCATCATTTGAGTTGTTGGACAGACCATCAAACTGAGAGAGAAACTCAGTCTTCATACGGCGTTCGGACTCATGTTCCGAATCTGATCTCGACTTGAGCAAAGAATCAACTTCGTCAATAAAGATGACAGAGGGAGACAAACAACGAGCTACAGCAAACAGCGTCTTCATTGTCTTTTCACTGTTGCCAACCCATTTCGAAGTTAAAGTGGAAGAGGTAATTGAGAAAAACGTCGCTTTTGCTTGGGAAGCAATACACTTGCCAATCATAGTTTTTCCCGTGCCTGGAGGACCAAACAGCAAAATACCTAAAAAACAAAAAAGTTAAATTCATTTTTTTAAATACTAAAAGCTACCTTTAGGAGGAGTTCGAATGCCGGTAAAAAGATCCGGACGCAGTAATGGCAAAATTGCGACTTCTTTAATCTTTGTTTTGGCTTTGTCAAGGCCTGCAACTTTTGTCCAGTCAACGCCTTCAAGATTGAAGATGATTTCACTTTTTATCAACTCAATCATTGACTTATCAATTCCTTTCAGGCGATCATCTTTCAGTAGATTGTTTTCCTTATTATCATCATTTGATTTGCACGGCTTTTTTGTCGGATTATTGAAAGATCGCGCGTTTTTACGGGAATCTTCGCTAATCTTTCTCGCTTCATCTGGGGCAAGATTTTTGTTTTTGACTTCGTTAAACAGATGAACATCTAGCCCGGTCATGAACTTTTTCTTACTTGACTCCAAAACATGATCGACTTCTGGCTCATTATCTTCATCTGCCATCTCGTCATGCGACCATGTGTTTTGTACTTCAGCATTATTGAAATTATACTGCGGTTGATTGTCGTTGTTATGAGAGTTTTGCTGAGTACTGTTAGAAAGAATTCGCGGTGGTTTAAACTGAGCATTGTTTTTCTTTTTGAAAATTCCGGAAACTCGAGTAGGTGATCCTTTACCATTAAACGTCAATTTTGAGCGAATCGGGCTAGAAGGTGGAGCAGGAGGTTCTAAAATGAACTGTTTAGAATTATTGCTTAAATTGAAAGGCAAAACATACTCATCTTTTGTTGAAACATTTCAACAATTTTGTTAGAAGTAGAAGGTGGGCTATCTTTGATAGAATCATCAATGATTGATTCAAATGAACTATCAACATCCGAAAATTCTGCATCATCCCAGTCTTCATCGAAATTAAAATTTGAAAGGTCAGTGTTCTCGCTTTCTTCAAGATTAATTAAGCGTTTTTTGTTAAACTCCTTGTATTTTTGTGCCAGCTCCACCATCGGCTTAAGCTTGGGATTTAGTGACGTTATAATATCTCCGGCTGACATTCCTTCTTGAAGTCGTTTGGCATAGAGGCTTGTCCACTTGTCTTGTGCCACTTCACGAGGACTGTCTTTGGCAATGTGCTTTGCTAAAGCAATGTAAGAATTACTGCCATCTTCCTTGTCCACTTCCTTGCTCAATTCACCCATCAAAGCACTTCGTCGGTGCTTAAAAACATTGTAGTCCACCTTGTCGCGGTTTGCTTGCAGTTGAAGTATGGCACTGCGAATCGCATCAGGACGACGAAACTTGCTGTTTGCCGCACAATCTAAAGCAAACTTGACGTCGTTCTTTAACTCCATTCGAGTGAAGAAAGTATTTCACAGGTAACTGAAGACAAAGATGAGTAGCCAAAAGGCGCGAATTTGTTGGAACACATGTGATTCAGGTAAACAATCAACGGCTTTGTTTTTGTCTAATTTTGCTTCTAAAATCCATTCATAGATGGCATTACACAAGCTCAAAATATACTTTTTGCAATTTTTTGTGCTAATTTAGAACTGCTAAAATCCGATTCTTCAGTTTACAGTTAGGTAAGTTACTTGATTCAATTTATTTGTTTAAAACATAATTATGTGCTTGAATTAACTTACTTTAAAACATAAGCTAATGAACGTGTTATATGTTTTTTATCAGCAAACCTTGTTTTGTTTAAGGTTTTTTGTGAAAACCGTTGTTTGTGTTCAGTGCTTCATTAATTCAAATTACTCCCAGTAATGTGTTTGAAGTCCCTGTGAGCTGGCACCTTTCTTGGCAAACACTTGAATCCAGATGCAGTCTAATTCAATTGCTGTTCAAATTTAAATTTATTGACTCCTCTCTTCTTTTGTCTAAGAGGCTCGTGCCAGCAGACATGTGCCTCTCTGATCAACATCGATAGAGGCAGTGCGTGCCAGATTTGCTCTCATTCGATTTATCAACTGTGCTAATCCAATTAGGCAGGAGTTTGCGTTTAGAGGATAGAGGTCACTTGGTAAGACATCTCTTCAACCTATTTTTTTCGGAGCTGATTTTTCGGTTTAGATTGGCTTCGTTTGTTGACTCTAAAAACAAACATAAAGTTAACTTTATTTCACCAATTATTGCGAGACAATGTCTATTGTTTTCTCAGCAACTGATTTTCGTGTCTCTTTCTGTTGCAGTTTCCAAAGTTGATTTCACCTTCCTTGTCAATTGCAATTGGTGTCTGAACCAAAACAAAAATTTCTCTAACTAATTTGTCGCATTCTCAACTTTATTTCTGCCCATAACACGTTAGCCAGTGTCAAGAACAATGTGCAACTAAATTAAATGTAACAACTTCACTACCAGTGACATCATCATCATCACTTTGGTAATTACTTAACGACGACGGCAAAGTGTCTCTGTTCATTGGCCGTACTGCCGCGGACATTATTGATTCTGACGTGAATGAGGGGTCCAGTGAAGGTGAAGGTGAAAGTTAATTGCTGGCAAGATGGTCAGTCAACTTCAGTCAGCCTTCATTCACGGGGAAGTCATTGAGGGTACTTTCAATGACTGCTGATGCTTCTTTTTACAGTTCATTTCTCAGTCTTTCAGTTCTCTGTCTGTCTAATGTGGTGGCGGCTGCCGTGGAGTTATCACTTACTCTTCATTAAATATTTAAATGTCAATTACTTGCCAGACTTGACTCGGGTCTTGAGCTCAAGTGAGTGCTCTGCAGATGCTATTTTTAGGCGCTTTCTTTGTCTTTATTGACACATCTCTGTGCGATTAATCGATGCAGTCACGTCAGTCAGTCAGTCAAGCAGGCAAATGTTGCGTCGACTTGACTGTTCACTTTTACCTGAGAGAGTAGAACTACTCTGAGGACCTAATCTGCCACGTGCCCTAAAGTGCAACTGAAGTACGTGTTGCAAAGGATGGGCAAGTCAAGCAGGGGCAATGTGGCAGACGGAATTGACCTTTTCGCTTCACTGCCCGTGCCCACAAGTGTCCGCAGTGCAAGTCACAGTGAGAGTACACAGAGAGTTGTTGTCCTCGGTGTTGTCCGGTCGGTCGATCCAGCTGCCGCTAGATCCACTGTCAGTTTTTAGTGGCAGCAGCAGCCGCGGTCACTGGTCGCATGTGTGTGCTCACACATTGTTTATTTACACTGCTGCAGATGAATCGGGTCCAAATTGTGGCCTATTGTCGCGTGACAAATTGCACCATACAACTCACTCACATTGCATTGCATCGTAGGCACTGAACAACTGCTGCTGGTTATGTTCCTTGTCACCGACTACACTGAATCGCCAATTTGTCCGCTGCCAGACAATGCCAGTTGCTTGTTATCAGAACTGACCGGCCACACTGGCCGGGGGACAGCCGAGCAGCAGCAGCGACATATAATTGCAGAGCAGCTCAGTCAGCAGATCTGGAGAACGTCTCATTTATCCGTCGCATCGAGATGAATTGGAGTAATTTGGCAATGGGCAAATGCTGGTGCTCCCTCTCTTTTCCTCTCACTGTCGGCCATTGTCTCTCCTCTGCTGGACTCAATCTCAACTTTAGCCCAGTGGCCTGGCTCACTGGTAGCACGTGTTGGTGCTATCGTGTTTCAGTACCGGCAGTTATGATTTACTGTCGCACTAGTTCCGCAGTGTGTCCGCCGCCATCAGCCACACCGATGCAAAGCAGTGCTCCACTCTGACTTGTCTCATCCACTGCCTTCCACTGAGCCATTACCGACACAAAACTAGCAGACACTGCTGCTGTCATTCTTTCCGTTTGCCCTACCGCAATTAGTCGCAAGCAAGTTCTGCCAAAAAGTCACAGACACTAAAAGGGCGCGCATTAGGTGTGTGCGCGCTCTCTTCCCCAGTGTGTTCGTCAATGCGTGTCGCCATGTGTTCCAAAGCAATACCTTCACAGTGGGTACTACTACTGCTACCCCACGACCTAGGGTGTTGCTCCTCTCTTTTTTCAAAGGGGACGAGGTCTCCGGATCCTACTGACTGTGCATCACTAGACGCACTAACGAGGCAGACAGCACAGTGCGGGCACACGCGCGCGCCTTTGCAGTCCCCCAACTTTTCATTGCCTTCTGCACGCGTACCCAGTCTGCTCTGGCGGGACAGTAAATTGAGACGTGTGTACTCTGCCACCGCACACAAGAGAAAGGGTAGCCGCCGCCGTTGGTCAACACATGTCTGTCAAAGAACAACTGAGACCATCGGTCAGTGTGTCCACTGTTGGTCAGTCTTTTACTGCCAACCAGGTGTTGCATCCAATGCCGCCATAAAAGTCTATTAGGTGCACTGAATGGACTAAACAGCGGTGATAAAGGCCAATGCACTTCGGAACAGCACTCTTTGCTTTGCTCATTATCTCAAATGACGCGGGCAAAAGTCATTCAAACTGTCACTTGATTTTACGTCAATTCTTTGGAGTTGAATTTAAAATTTGTTTAAAGTAGCCAATTACTTGTGGTACAAAAATACATTTTAGTGCTGTTTTCTCTCCTTTTTTTTGTCGTTTTGGAAATAGTTTCCAATTAGATTTTATTACGCGGAAAATTGGCGTTTGACTTTCCAATCTTTGCTAATTATTTTTCTCATTTAAACTTTTGACATTTAAGCTTTTTCAAAAGTTTTTGAATAAATTTAAATGCTCTTTACTTTGATGCAGTTGACAATAAGATTTACTGATTGATGAGCAAACCTTGTTTAGATAGTTTTCTAACTGTTTTTATATGTTTAACTTTAATCGGCCTGTTTGTCTGCTCAATTTCGACCATCTGTCATTTCAGTTTTATCCTCGTGTGTGTGCTCCACTTGGCAAGAAAAAGTCGAGCAAAAGCAGACGATCTAGCCGAATAATTAACCTACAAAACGAGTCACTGATGCCGTTGCCTCTCTCTTTCTAATGGTCGACGCATTAGTGACCATGCAAATTGGCATCCACCATTACCGATGTCTGATCATTGTGCCATTTGCTCTCTGTGTAATTATATGCTTCAGTAATTAATTAACTTTTTAACTCTGCGTTGTTTACTACTGCTTTTTGAAAATCAGTTCAATTTGACTTGATGTTGTTTCAAAAACAGACAAAAAAATTTTATTTTGTTATTGATAGCTTTTGAACTCAGTGTTTGTAAGTCAACATGTACTCCTTAGAAGTTTTAGTTTTTTGTACTTTCAAAAAATTCATTTAAGAAACCCTTCCTGGTTTCGCCCTAGTCTACAATTAATTACATGCAAACACAATGCAAACATCAAAGGCATCTAATAAACAGGAGTCAATTCTCTGTAGACTAGCGGTACATCAATTATCAGATGTCCATTCGAGTGAACCTTACCTGAAATGGTATTTTTGACGTAAAAAATCAATTGTTTTAACGTATGGATAACATAAACTTTATGAGCTGTGCTTCCAAAAAATGTCAGATTTAACTTTTTAACAAATTTTGAATTATTTTGTAGCAGAGTGGTGATATTTTTTACCAAATTAGTTTTGTTTGTTTCAGCTCATAGCGTAAATCCACCTGACATCTGGGAACAGTGTCACAAATCAGAAGTGCACATGGAGCCCAAAATAATCTTATTAGCGTGTTGTACTTTTTGTTTCATAGCAAGCTCATATTTTCTCCTGTTGTACAATATAAGGGCAATTAGAAAAAACAATAAGCAACAGTAAAGCAAACTGCCTATCCCGTTTTTTCTCTTCTTCTTGTGTTCTTTTGCGTATTCCTAAATGTTCCTCAACCAGGCGAACATGGCACGCGACTAGAGTTGAAACGATCTCATTTGCTAACTGCGACATTCCTCCGTAACAATTTGTCCTTTTTGTATACTTTTTTGTTGTTTTCTTTTTTGTCGAATTCAAGCAACTTTGGTGTACAAGAGCGAACACCCGCAGCGCTAGTGCAGTGCACGTACGACGTGCAAAAATGGTCAAAATGGCGTCACAGCAAATTGACCTGGCACATCCTCGCTCGCTGTATTGATGCAACCAATATCTTCTTTTACTATTTTTTTTGTGCATTTCAGTACTAGTTGTTTCCATTTGTTTGTTTTGCTGCAAAGTCATTTTAAAACTTCTCTTTATTGCGTCTTTTGAGAGTGGCGCAGAGAAATGTGACTGTGATTTATTATCAGTCTATCTCTCGCCAGACAACTCCGACTGCAAACATGCATGCAAGCACATAAAGCTGTCTGTTTGATTCGATCATCATTTGCCGAGCAGAAGTTTATTAGCTCTGAAAAAACGATGCATGACGAAGTAAAGTGAGTGCAGTGAGTGCATTTCAGTGTGGAGCCCTCTCTGAGGCCTGACGCCCTGTGTGCGACAGTGCTAC